AGATAATCTCTATAGCATAAATTATTATTAAGATAGGAGACAGTCATATTTATATTCAATTAAACTGGAAAACTGATAAAAGAGATAAATTCATAGAAAAAAAACGGAACTTACTTAAGATGAAGTATATTTTGTGATATAAAAAGTATATAAACATAAGAAACAGATTGTAAAGGTAGGTTTTGCAAACATTTTAAGAAGCATATAAATCTGACTTTATTTGAGCTCTATCCTGGAATAATGGAATAAGTAGAAATACAGCCAGTTAGAGCTGGTGCTTTCCAATAGAGTAACTACTGACCATATGTGACTATTTAGAATCAAACAAAATTCAAATTCATTTCCCTTGTTACACCGATCACATTTTTAACTTTTTATTTATTTTTTTAAAATATTACTTTTCTTTTTTTTTTTAATCTGAGAGAAAGAGCAAGCAAGCGGGAAAGAGGGGTAGAGGGACAGAGAGAGAACCCCAAGCAGTCTCCCTGCTCAGCGGGGCCCAATTCCATGACTCTGGGATCATGAGTCAGATGCACAACTGACTCAGCCACCCAGATGTATTCTTAAATTGTTAGCCCAATTCCATGACCCTGGGATTTGGAGTCAGATCTCAGCTGACTGAGCACCAGTCACATTTTTAAATTGTTAGCTCAGCAACTACCTTTGATTACTGGCTATCACACAGGACATCACAGATAATGGAACTCTTCCATCATGACAGAAAGTTCTATTGGGCAATGCTGTTTTAGAGACCAGAGCCCTAATAACAAAAACAGAAAAAGCTATCATGAGAAAGTAAAATAAAAAACCCATTTTACATATGACTATAGATGCAAATATGCTAAAGAAAACATTATCACATTGAGTCAAATAGGAGTTAAAAACAGATAAAACACAACTCAGGTGTAACTAGAAAATGCAAGAATTAATATTGGAAAAATTCACACCTGCAATTTATCATACTAATAGATTAAATGACATGCAGTTATCCAAAGAAAGGCACAAATAAGATATGATAAAATTCAACACCTATTCATGATTAAAAGAAAAATTCAAACTGAGAAACTGAGAATATAAAGGAACTATTTTTCACACTGATAAAATGTATCTATCAAAGTTTAAACACTATCATCTTCTAACCATGTTAGAGAAATTGGTGCCGGATTTGTCTTTCCTTTGTAAACAACTGAGAAATAAAACAAGATAAACAGCACACATGGTTTGGGACACAGCACCAGGAAACTGCTATCCCTGAGAAAAGCAGAATATACAGGAAGAGCTCTCAAGGTGCCCAGACTTCCCTGACCACAGGGTAGATAAGGGGAACCCAAGCAGAGCATGGCAATCATTGAGTGCAGCAGGTGGAAACCAGTTTAGGGAGGCCAGGCAGCTGGCACTTGCACCAGAGAGTATCCGAGAGGATTTCAGAAATCTGCATACAGTCTCCTGGAGTCTAGGCCCTGATGCAACCTAGGCAAGAATAAGATAAAGAGACATCAAAAGGCTGAGCAATATCAGCTCCAGGCAGCTGAAGCTTAACAGTACCTAAGAAGAAAGGGCACTGGACTTGGCATTCATGCAGAAAATATGGAAGACATTCTTCCTCATTAAAAAAAAAAAAAAAAAAAAAAAAAAAAAAAACTTTTAAAGTATAAGTGACTGTTTAAAGCAAAAATTATAATTAGCTGTAGATGTGTTTTATAACCCATGTAGAAATAAAATGTATGACCAGAGTAATATGAAGTCTTTGTGAGGGCGGACCTCTCCAGCCAGGATCCCAGTCTCACCATGGCTAAGTGAGAAGGAGGCACAGACCCAACCCATGACCTGAAGTTTGGGGCATGCTGGAACTTGCAGGGTCATTTCTTTCCCTAGCTCCATACATGACCAGAAGTCTCTACTGCCCTGCATATCATGTGTGGAGCAGGTGCGGGGTGGGGGAAGTTGGTACGAGAGAGGTCAATGCTTCTCAGCAGGTGGCAAGCCCTAGACAGTCCTCTGGTTGTGTCCAACTGAGGAAGTTCTGATTACTGTGAAGATGTGGATAAATTCACCAAGCTGAACTGTCAATATATCTCAGTATTTTCATGCCTTAAAAATTAAAAAGTCATTTATCTCTGTGCAGTACAAAGAGGTCTTCAAATTCAACTGTACCTCAAATTACTACTCATTATACTATTTATTCTCAGTATAAAGATAAGCGATGGACAATGAACATGGAGAGATTTGTAGAAGTGCATGTAGCAATATAATAAAAGGCCTACAGGGCTTTCTGCAGCTGTTCCTCGAAAGCATTGGCTACTAAACATGAAAAGGACATCTGTGTGTCTAGCAGAGAAAACCGCTCAAAGCAGAATGCAGACCCTCTCAGGAGCTTGCTTTGATTCATGTGTTTTTGAAGAACTGTTCAGACTAGAAGGAGAAAGAGACTCAACATTTCCACAACAAGAAGTCAGATTTGGTATTTTAACAGAGAAATACAGAATTCCTAGGCCATATCTTCCAGGTCTTTTAATGAATAATCATGGCTCTGTTTTTACACTTGGGACATTTAGTGAGCTGGATGAAAGAACAAACAGAAGTTCTTAGCCGTGAGGTACACGTGGTTATGCTGCTGCTGAGGTCTTTTTCAGTACACTCAGCACTGAAGGAACACACGTCCTTTTCAAGTGCCATTGAAATATTCCCTGAGATAGACCATATGGTCATCAAAAAAAAAATCAAGTGTTGATCTATAAAAGTACTTAAAATATGTAATATACATTCTTTACAATAACTCATTCCAGAGACAATAGAACTAAATTAAAGATCAATTTAAAAAGATACCTAGAGGGGTGCCTGGGTGGCTCAGTTGGCTAAGCGTCTTACTTCAGCTCAGGTCATGATCTCATGGCTTGTGGGTTTGAGCCCCCGCATTGAGCTCTGTGCTGACAGCTAGCTCAGAGCCTGGAGCCTGCTTCTGATTCTGTGTGTGTGTCTCTCTCTGACCCTTCCCTGCTCACGCTGCCTCTCTCTCTCTCTCTCTCAGAAATAAAACATTAAAGAAAGAAATTTAAAAAATAAAAAATAAAATAAATAAAAAGATACCTGAAATATCCTCCCAAATATTAAAAAATTTAAAACATGCTTTTAAATAGCTAAAGAAGCAAGCATAATGTAAATTAGAAAGGATTTGTATTCAATGAAAATAAGCACAAGACATCAAGATTTGTGAGGTGCAGCTAAAGCAATGCTTAAAAGGAAGAATATACACTTAAATAAAAATTTCTAAAAGTTTTTATTTAAAATTTAAACATTTAAAAGTTAGGGCACCTAGATGGCTCAGTCAGTTAAGCATCTGACTTTTGATTTCAGCTCAGGTCATGATCTCACAGTTCGGTTTGTGAGATTATGGACTTGCATTATCACAGGAAGGAGAATGTCAAAACTATCAAGGAAAATATTCCTGTTTCTACTGGAGTATTTAATTCTGAGTTTTGATTCTGTTAACATAATAAATAATTCTAAGAATGAATTGGTGTTTTGTTTTAATAAAAATGGCTTTGTGATTATATTTTTCATGGTTTTATACTCTTATTCATTTAGTCTGTGTCTTCTCATCTAAGTTTCCCAATGACTGTGCAGAAGCAGAGAATGGTTTTGTTATTCCTGTTTTGAAGAAAAACTTTAGAATTAGAGGGTCCAAGTTCACACTGCTAGTGCAAGGTTGAAATGAGGATACATGTCTTCTGGCTTTAATTTTCTGGTGATTACTTTCTTTTCTTTAAATTTTTAAAAGATATTTGTATTTATTTTTGAAAGAGAAAGAAAGATAGAACATGAGGGTGAGAAGGGGCAAAGAGAGAGGGAGATACAAAATCTGAAGCAGGCTTAAGGCTCTGAGCTATGAGCACAGAGCCAAACACAGGGCTTGAACTTTTGAACCATGAGATCATGACCTGAACTGAAGTCAGAAACTTAACCAACCAAACTACCCTGGCCCCTGGCCTACTTTCAATCAGCATTACAGACAAAGAATGCCTTGACATTAATAAAATGCTGAGTTGTTTAAACACAATCTCTTTCCTAAAAAAGTTACTTTTTATAATATTATTTGCATCATTATTTTGTGGCATGATATAGCATAGCCTACAAAATCCTTGGCTTTGACCTCACGCACACCTGGGATCAAGCTTTTCCATCTGCATCCCGAGGATCAGTGCCTTGATCCTGATCAGCCTCAGTGTCCATAGTGTGAATTAGGATGTTAGTACTCATCTCATATTGATCTTTTGGAGTTTGAATTACTGCATGTATGCATGTGCCTCAAACACAAATAAAGATGGAGTTGCTTTAGTGTTTGTGTTTTGGAGTTAAATGCAAATTTTCCATTAAATAGTCTTATCCAAATTTTCTATGCTATTACACAAATTTCAAACAACTTGAAACAGTAATAATTAGTGGATTTAGGAGTATGTAACACTATTTCTACAATACAGTTAAGGAAGGAAAATGAGGAAGAGAGATACCAAAAGACAGTGTCAGTTCAGATTAGGCTCTCCAGGTAGCAACAAATCCTGCCAAAAAACTTGTCTTGCAGAAAATAAAATTTCATTTCTCTTTTAACAACAGGAGTCCAGAAGTCGGTAGTCTAGAGCTCCATGAATGTTAGAGACCTAGGTTCTTCTGTGTTATTGTTCTGCCACCCTTCTTGCTACTTCACAATCTAAGAGGGTTTGTCAGCCTCAAGTTAATCCAGCCAGCAGAAGGAAGAAGGAACAAATAAGAAAAGTCAAACTGTCATTTAAGTAGGTTTCCTGAAAGTTGCAACATCACATTTTGGCTTTCTATCAGCTGGACAGAACTTAGTCACATGGCAGACCTTGCTGTAAGTGAGAGAGAAAAACATAGCCTTTATTCCAGAAAGACTGGCCTGCACTAAAAAAAAAAAAAAAAAAAAAATCATTCCTCCATTTCCCAATAAAAGTCTTGCCACGATCTCAATCTGCAGTTTTGGAGCAATGGCTTTCCTTCCCCCTTGGGCCTGGGTACTAGCTTGTTTCTTGTCTGTTTCTTTAGCAGGGTCTGATTTGTCAGATCTGTATCCCCCTCTGTGGGTGAAGAGTGCTGGTCAGTTCAGTGACTACAGGGTAGAAAATGGAAAGTACATTATTGATCCCTGGGTATACTCTGAGAGAATGGGGATGTATAAAATCCTAGTGAATAAGACAGCCAGTTATTTTGAAAATCTTGTAGCAGACAATGAACAAAATATTTTATGGGGATTACCTCTCCAGAATGGCTGGCAATTTAGAACAGGTAAGAATGACTCTTGTTTTCATCCTAATGATCTACCAATATAACCATGAAGTAATTGGGAAATAAGATTCTATATATACCATACTATGGTTTTGAAATTTGGTTCTTTTCTTTTTTCTCTTTCCCCCTCATAACCATATTTCTCTATTTCTTCTCCTTCATAAATCCTTCTTTTATGTGTTTTTTGTTTTGACTAGAAACCACAGTGGGGCATAAGACATAGCTGCCAAATTAAAAAAAAAAAAAGACTTCATATAAAATATATTGACTATTCTACAAGTATTTATTGAACTCCTGCTAGGTGTCACATACCATTAGATGAGCAAAACAACCAAAAGGATATACATTAAAAACAGAAGGTGATGTCAAAATAGCTTGAATTTTTTTGAAGTTCCAGGTGTGGTTACCTAAACATGAAGAAAGGGCAGATAGACAAGGAGAGGCATCTTGTTCATTAGCATGTTTCTCTGCAAATTATTGATTCCTCTTGAAAATACATTCTGGTGTTTAAATAGGAGATACGTTGTGGGCCAAGGGTTCATAAATTTACAAGATACTTTTGTCCAGGCTGACTGAAGAAGCTCATGAAGGAGAGGGGTGTCTCCTGCCTCCTCCATCCTGATAACAGCACCAATAAAGAAATTTGTTCTATTCCGATGGAAAACAAAATACAGGGACATTATGGTTTATCTTAGGTCTGAGCAGTGGTCATATTCAGGAGCCACTGAGGTTGGCAAATCATCCATCTTTGTCAGAGAATGTCCTGAGACCCAAGGCTACTCCTATTTATTTGGCTTTCCTTGGGGTCAAAAGAACCCTGGCCCAGGAGACATCAGTAACATAAAGCCTGCTATGGGAGGCATACCAGCCTCAGAGTAGAGAGATGGAGCCTAAACAGGCTGTTAGTTTAATGCGCTTTTTACTCTTTCGTTCCATTCACACATCAGGATCAAGCCTGACTAAACTCATCCAGGGATGAGCTTATAAGTGTCCAGTATTTGCTAAGAGCAGTGGGGAGGTGGGGTGTGAATAAATACTTTCAGACAGACAATTTCCAACACAATTGAAACAGGAAAGGTAGCAGAAATTAAATGGAAAACAATGACCAACAACTCTTGGATAAAAGTTAAAAGTTCAAAACAAGGGGCAAAGTGGAGTCAGCTGGAGTAATCAGGGAAAAAATGAATTTAAACTGAGACTTGAAATCTGGATGAAATTTTACTGTGGAAATAGAAATGAAATCTACTAGGAAATAAAAGAAGGAGCTAAAGCAGTGCTTCTCAGGCTTGGCTGGATATTGAAAACAACTGCCCAGTTAAAAAATAACAATATTTAGGTGCACCAAGGAGTATTCTATTCTAATTTAATAGTAGTGGGAATTAGGCCAAAGGACAGAACCTGGAAACATCATGGTATAGGCACATGCGATTCAGTGCAGTGTGTGTGTGTGTGTGTGTGTGTGTGTGTGTGTGTGTGTGTTTAAGAAAAGGACAGCAAAAGGTAAGGAGAGAGAGATTGAGCAGGAGAGACTTTTTGAAGATTGATGAAAGAGGAAAAGACCAAATTAAAGCAAAAATATTTATTGATATTCATGAATTAATGTTAGTGTATAATAAATAATCCCTGCACCCTCTCTCTTCTAGGAAGATTAGCTGATCCCAGCCGAAGGAAAGACTGTGGCTATGAATCTGGAGATCTTTTGTGTATCTCTGTGGACAGTTGGTGGGCTGGTAGGTTGATTTAAATGGCAAAATAGGTAATAACCTTACCCCAAGGAAAGTATTCAACCCAAAATCTTGGGACAGAGACAAAAGAATACTATTCCTTTGTAAGAAGGAATCTATTTCATCATGCACCTTGTGGCCCTTAGGCCACATTCTAGAATTTGACAGCTACAATGTCAATAATTATTCCTTAAGGCATGTTCACCTTTAATAGAAGGACTGCAAGGATCTGCAAAGACCCACAGCCCTTGAAAGCCCAGCCCTGGCAAGTGAGGTGAGAGGTCCCATGAGTGAGGGGGAGTCCCCAATGAGAAATGAGGGAACAAGGAAATAGGGCTTCTTCTTATTTTGCTCAAACCAAACATTTATGGTTTAACGTTTAAACCATAAACATGTCAGAGAGATCTACTACAAATGATCTCATCACATCAGTAATCTAAGACTTCAGACAGATATTTAATACTAAAATAATTACAAGACACTTTCTAACTTTAATTCTATTTTATGTTTTAATAATAAAACTAATTTATACAGTTTCTTAGAGATATTTTCCAATGCTAGAAACAAGGATATATTGTTTCACTTTCTTAGAGTGACACACATCACATACACCTTTATGCATTTTTCTAATACGGCACTGACTTGTTCTTTACAAAGACCCACAAATAGCCGTGGCCCCAGCACTAGAATGCAGGCGTCTTTATTGATTTAGTAGTTTGGAGTATCAGCTGCTCAACTGAGGCATAGTACTGCATTCATAAACGTGTGTCTATGATAAAAAATGTTCCACCTCACCAGTGAGAATCAGTATAAGCTTTATAGCCATCTAAAGTATAATGTTTAAATCTGCTGGAGTTGGTTATGTTTAGAGAGAAATTTTAAAAAACCCTTTCATTCATTGTCAATTTAATTACCCAAAGATCCATTGTCAACACTTAATGCAAAATGTTTGCTTTAAAGACCTAATGTAGACCAAAGACTTTGTGATACCATGGTTACACATTAAACTTGGCTAAATACAAAGCACAAAATGTTACCACTATAACTACATTAAAATGTTTAAAAATTATATTTTATGATAAAACCTCAGTTAGAGGTGTATCATTCTGTGCACAAGTAGATAACTTTCTTCCTTTTTTTACTTAATGATTTGAAAAAAAAGAATATTGGATAGTATAAATATTAAATGTTAAAATTAATTTTATTAAAAGAATTAAAGACAACTGCCTGAGTCTATATTTATTTATGGTTGTAGGATTATTAACACAAGCATATTTAATTTATGTAGATGATCCTTAGGGAGATTTTCAATTATTATTATTATTATATTCTTTGCTAGTGATTAACTCTTATGTTTCTGTGAGTATTTGCTTATCGTTTATAGATTACTTGAAAATATTCTCTATCACATTTGTTAGTGCTTGTGGTAATAAAAAGTACTTTGCTCTTTCAGATATGAATTACTTTCTGTGTGCATTACCCTTCCTTGCTGCGGTTGACTCTGGCATATTGGGAATATCATCAGACAATGTCATGCTTTTGCCACCGCCCAAGGATCAGACAAAGTTTTGTCTTAATGTTTCTAGTTGTCAGTCATCCTTTCCTGAAATAATGAGCAAGTGGAATGCCTTTTACCAGGTTGCTGTTTTAAATTTTATAATTTATTTTCTTAGGAGGTGGTAAGAGAATGTCCTTTTTTGTACAGTGTTTTTCATCTAGGTTTTTTGTGTGCATTATATAATATTCTCCTAAGTATGAAAAATGTAAATTGTTATGCAAATTGTATTATAATATTGCAACAGGGCACTACATGGCATTAATATCCTCCAAACCAACACAGTATTAATACAAAGTCTATCCACTCATTTCAAATAAATTATACACAGATGTGAGAGCACAAAAGATATCTTACTGAATGAAAAGATAGTTCTGGTTAACTATGTCAACCAAGGATTAACTAGTGGGAGAAATACACTTATGAAGTTGGTTTTTAGAGCTGTCAATTAACTTATTTCAACTGAATTAACAGGTGATCATATATTGGTAGAACTAAATACTTATGTGGCAATCAAAACCAAATATTCAATGAACAAAATACAAACCAGCTAGGCATAGACATAGGATTAGATTCAAATTGAAAAGATAGATTTATGAGTTCTATAGATTATTAGTTCACCATTTTAGACATGATTGAATTAAATATTCTAATAAAAATTTCCACCTTTTCTTAATCTTAAAATTTTGTAGTAATTTCTACTCTGATAGCAGAAAAACAAATGACAATCCAAAACCAAAATCCTTTTGACCAGTATAAAATACTGGATCTTAGGAAAATTGTTGCAGTTCATTTATTATAGATGCATTCAATATTATTACTTATAATAGATATTTATTATGGACTATTAGTCACTGAAAACTCTTAGAAACAAAATTCTCTCATGTAGAATATTTTGAAATTATAAATGGGAGTAAGATAAAATTGTAGGGAGAGGAACTATTATATTTTCCTATATATGAAAAAGTTTCTCGTCTGCCACAGCATTTACAGTCTCCTTCTAGTAGCTTTGAAGACCTGTTGAAGTACTTCTGGGCTGCACATGTCTCAACCTTGGAGAATGCTGGTAAATTATTTGAAGATAGGTAAGAATTGATCCCAAATCATTTCTATTTAATATGGTAAATGATTTTGAACTTATTTATTCCTTTTTATTCTTCTAAAGTGGTTGTTAATCTTCTTATTAAACAATATTAGCCATTGGGTTCTTTAATGATGAGGCTTAAATATTTTAGAATGATTAGACTTTAAAAATGTTTTATTAAGAAAGGGGCAAATTTTTGAGGAAAAAAATCTTGCACTAATCAACCAATAACTAATGAAACAGCTAGCCAATTAAACAAATAAACATACAACCAATTTCTCTGTATAAAAGAAAAGAAATTATCTTCATTATTTTGACCACAGACACATAATATGGTAGGTATATAATTAGGGAAAAAGATCAACTACCATCAGGGTTAGCATACAATATAGCTGAAAAGATTATCAAGCCACTGCACATGCACATCAAGAGGTTATTATATACCTAGATGTGAAGGTGGAAGAATGATTTGTGAATGACACTGTATTAGTCAGGGTTCTCCAGAGAAACAGCCCCAGGGGCGCCTGGGTGGCTCAGTCGGTTGAGCATCCAACTTTGCCTCAGGTCATGATCTCGCGGTCCGTGGGTTCAAGCCCCAATCAGGCTCTGTACTGACAGCTCAGAGCCTGGAGCCTGTTTCAAATTCTGTGTCTCCCTCTCTTTTTGCCCCTTCCCAGCTCGTACTCTGTCTCTCTTTGTCTCAAAAATAAATAAATACGTTAAAAAAATTAAAAAAAAAGAAACAGCCCCAGTAGGAGATAGATAACAGATGATAGATAGATAGATAGATAGATAGATAGATAGATAGATAATAGATGATAGAGAGATAGAGAGATATAGACAGACAGATACACCTATTACAAGGAATTTGTTCATGAAATTATGGAGGCTAGGAAATCCATCATATACAGAGCTGATGCCCAGTTTGAGTTTAAAGGTTGACAGTGCTATAGAACCAGAAAGAGCCTATGTTCCACTTTGAAGGCCATTAGCCAGAATTCTCTTTTACTCTAGGGTAGGTCAACTTTTTGTTCTATTCATGCCTTCAGCTGATTAGATGAGGCCTATTCACATTATGAAAGGCAATATGTTTTACTTAGTCAACTGATTTCAAAATGGAAGTTTCAAAAAAACTCTCACAGAAACACCGCAAGATGGACATTATCTGGGGGTGAAATCAACCACTTTGAGAGAGATAGGGGGTAGAAATCTGGGTATGGGTAAAAGACAGGAACAAAAAAAATCAAGGTCCTTGGTATTGTATAAGTAGATTGGTAAATCCAGGCAGGATGTGTGAGGACGTCTTATTTCATAATTGTCTCTCCCACTGACTCCGTCATTCAGTAAGGTAAATTAATCAAATTAATCACCCACTAGCAGATTTCCTCCTTTACTTATTGGTGTGGCTTCAAGAACTAGGTATTAAATTGGGCAATGGAGTTTTCTTCCTTGGCATTATCTGTGATAGGATTTGAGGCTGCAGCCCCCACAACTGTTGTAAATCAACTGCTCTTTCTATTCTGATGACAGGAAATACAAATGAGATTATCAGACAAGGATTTGGGGCTGGGATTGCAAACCTCAAAATTGGACTGATAGCAAGTCATCTTTCTAGGTTAATTTTTTAATTTACAGAAGTCCCAGGTTCATATGCCAGGATAAGTCAGCATAGAATGCAACTTTGTGCCTAAGAAACATAAGAGGACTCTAGTTAAAATTCAAGGAGATCGTAGAAGTTTTTTTTCTTATAGGTAAATTTCTTGTCTCTTGTGGTTTTAGACATTTTAACTTATTGTATTTATTCCTGTTTATGTAATTGAACTACTTTTGAAAGAATATCACATTTTTAACAGACCAACTTTATTTAAAAGCTGCTCCAAGATCACAGAGCATATGAATTTTTTTGGTGAATAATTTTAAATAGTTATAGGACTATTTTGGTCACAAGAATATTACCTAAAATTTTTTTGATAGTATCAGAAGCACTTTCCTCATTAATTATAATAAGAAAATTGTTTTCATTAACTCTTTTTAGAACTCTGAAATTCTATCCTTCTTACTTGACCTTTTATTTAGATGTCAACAAATGACTCTCTTAAATGAGTTTTTTTTTAAAGCTACTATTTCTCAAGTACAATAAGTAAAAGAAATTTCCCTAAGTATCTTAATGTAACATCTCACTTCAAAATAGCCCCTTTTTCTAGATCATAAGTATGTGGTTGAGCTGTTTAGTAGCTTGCTTAAAATCTTACAGCTAGTGAATGGCAGAGCTAGTATTTAAATTTCCTGTGACTCCATAGCTCATCCTCTTACATGTAAACTCCACTGCTTGCAATGTATGTGGCTTACAAACTAGTTTTACAAGGTCAGTAACTACCAAGGTGCTTCTTCCCCTTTGAAAAGATATTAAAAGCTATTAAACAAACAAAAAAATATGATCCCACTTTTTCAATGTATAATAAAACAGAAATAAAATATAATATTCACTTCTTTTATGAAGAATCTTTAAATCCTGGGGAGAGGTGAGTCACATGGAGGATCACCTAAGTGAACAAAATATCATTCATGCCTCTTCTCCCCTCCTCTCAAGTATGTTAGAAGGCAAGTGGGTTTGATCAGCACCTCCCTATCCTAGGAGTTAGTGCAGTGGATAGACAGTCTTTAGAGTCTTCCTGCAGCTGCTGCTATGGCTACTTCAGGAATTCTTCAGCCATCCTCTCTCCCTCCCTCCCTCCCTCCCTCCCTCCTTTTCCTCCCTTCCTTCCTCCCTTCCTTCCTCCCTTCTTCCTTCCTTCCTTCCTTCCTTCCTTCCTTCCTTCCTTCCTTCCTTCCTTCCTTCCTTCCTTCTTCTTTATTTTATATATTGAATTCGGCTGTTCTCTCTTATTTTTTGTTTTGGATTATTTTTAATTTGTATATCATCCACTTTTATATGTCATTGATTTAAAGAGTCAGTTGGTTTTACAAGGTTTTGCCATCTCTCCCACCAAAAATACATACATAAATAAAAGGGTTGTATCTAAGGGAGAATACCACCTTAACCACCGGTTACTTTGGTATTTAGCACTATAGTTCTAAAAATAAAAAGTTCTAAAACACTTCCTGATTTGAATATTTAGGTATCAGCCTTTATTCACGACCATAGAAAATTACCACCTTGTTCCCCTTACCCTCACTCCACACAAATTCTTCCTACTTCTCACTTTCTCTGTATAATTGTTTAATGATTTGGGTTAGGTCAGTGTTCAATGCTTACATTATTTTAACTATTAACTACTATTCACAATCACATGTACTTAACTGATAGTATTTCTTTTTCCTCATTATCTTATTCCCTTTAGAGTTGATTCTTTTTCTATTGTACCCAACACTAATTACTTCAAATTGGCACACCAAGAAAGTTTCTTCTCAAGATGCCCAAAAGCATCCAGAATTATATCAATTTCTTCTTCTTGAAGAGGTTTCTTTCAGAGCTGTTGACTTGCTCTACTCTGCCCAGGTGGTCAGATATGATTCTTAGGTCTCTAATAACTTTGTACTGGATTCTCTTTATCACTTTTTTGTGTGTGTTGAATCACCCATTTCCAGTATGCCACATCTCTTTCCTGGATTACTTTGTTTGTTAGGACTTATATACCAGTCAATTCAGAACTGGTGCATGAGACGTAATTTGTATTCTTTTTTTTTTTTTTTTAAATGTTTTATTTATTTCTAGGAGAGAGAGAGAGAGAGAGAGAGAGAGAGAGACAGCGTGAGCAGGGGAGGGTCAGAGAGAGAGGGAGTCACAGAATGAAACAGGCTCCAGGCTCCGAGCTGGCAGCCAGCACAGAGCCCGACGCGGGGCTCGAACCCACGAACCGCGAGATCATGACCTAAGCGAAAGTCGGACGCCCAACCGACTAAGCCACCCAGGCGCCCCAGTAATTTGTATTCTTAAAATATTGTTATTCTATCATGATTTTTTACTTAGGCTTTGGACAATTACAGAAATCTAAGCTGGTAATACTGAAGATATTTGAAAGCATATCTTCATTAAATTTTAGCCTCATTTTTACTGTTGAAAGTCTATAATTTACTAGGTATGTTGCCTTGTATTTCATTTAGTTTTTTTCCCACAAGAATGCAGCACAGTTGTAAGTACTAAACCTCAGTGTCATAAAGCAGTGTTTAGTCTTCACATGTCTGAGATTCAGCTGGGAAGGTCTGCTGATCTTTTCTGGGCTCACATCATATTATGAGATTTTGATCAGCATCACAGGGTTGAATGGAGAAGCTCAGCTCTCTTGTTCTCCAGCAGGCAAACTTGAGTGTTTCCCATAGTGATGGCAGAATGTCAAGAGAGAGAAACCAAATTGTGAAAACATATTTCAAGCTTATACTGTATCAAGTTGATTAATATCTTACTGGCCAAATCAAATCATATGGCTGAGCTGGAGTCAGAGACCTCTTTCCTTCCTACCTCCTCCCAATGTAGCAGAGAAGGGGCACAACATATGTGTTGTGGAAACAGAGTATTAGAAAATAGTTTAATGAGACAGTAGCTTTCAAATACATGAATGAAATGGTGCTTTGGAAATACAGAGGAGGAGGAAACTTTGTGAAGGAGGTAACATCTAAGATGTGATTTGAAAAAGAATGTAGGTGAAGACAGGTGTAGACAGCAAAGCAAGAAGTAGACAAGGGGAATGATTCTGTTAAAAAAAAAAAAAAAAAAAACCCTGCAAGTTGTTCAGTATACTTAGACAGCTGTTGAGGACAGGAGCCATGAATTATATAGTTATAAAACTATTTACTACACCCTTACCTTTTCTACTGTAATGGTATGTTCCCCAAATAAGTGAGAAATTTTGGCTTCCTAGAATATTTTTTCTGTAGGAAAAAATCCCACCTATTTAGAAGATCAGTCATCACCTTCTCTACGATGCCCAATGTTTCAAGGGCCTCCTAATTTCAGGAAATCAATAGTGTTACAAAAGATATCTCAGTCTAGCAAAAATTTTACTTTGGAACTTTTGATTTTTATCTGCATATTTCTAAAGAGTATTACTTAGTCATGATATAATATCTATCTATCTGATCATTATATGATATTCAATTATAAGTATAAGGTGTTTGGTTAAAAGACATAAAAAGTCAAAATAAAATATAAACAATTGATGAAATCATCCTTCACCAGTTCAAATTTTTAATTACCTATATTTATATCATCAAAGGTAGGGGCTCAAGGCATCACATTCTAAATAAGAGAGAGAAAGAGAGAGAGAATAAGCAGGAGAGGGACAGAGAGAGACAGAGACAGAATCTGAAACAGGCTGTCAGCACAGAGTCTGATGTGGGGCTTGATCTCATGAGCCATGAGATCACGACCAGAGCTGAAGGCGGACACTTAACTAATTGAGCCACCCAGGCACCCCAAACCATCACATTCTAAAACTAAGAACTACATTATTAATTTGTTGGCAGAAGATGATCTTTAGCCAAATTATGAAAAAAGCCCAAATGTGCATTGACTGATGAATGGATAAATAAGGTGTGGCATGCATAATATATATATACACACATACATACATACAATGGAATATTACTCAGTCATAAAAAAGAATGAAGTCTTGCCATTTGCAAAGATGTGGATGGAGCTACAGCATATTTTACTAAGCAAAATAAGTCAACCCAAGAAAGACGAACAGCATATGATTTCACTCATATGTGGAATTTAAGAAACAAAACAGATGAGCATAGGAGAAGGGAAAAAAAAAAAAGAGAGGGAAGCAAACCATAAGAGACTCAAGTACGAAGAACAAACTGAGGTTTGCTGGAGAAGAGGTGGGTGGGGGCTGGGCTAAACGGATGATGGGTATTAAGAAGGGCACTTGTGATGAGCACTGGGTGTTATATATAAGTGATGAACCACTAAATTCTACTCCTGAAACAAATATTACACTAAATATTAACTAATCAGAATTTAAATAAAAACTTAAAAACAGAAAAAAATAATGGGGATGAAATTAGTGGACTAATTATAATTGTACATGTTTCCACTTGTCTCTTAGGTTGGAGTATTATTCTAAACCAGAAGCAAATTTTGGAAGAAATTGGTGTGTGGCTGTGAAATATTTAGCTGCAACTCTCTTTCCTACAACTCTGATTAGAACAAATGAATTCCAGAAGGGGCTGCCACCACGAATGCTTGTTAATGGAGATAGAGCCCCCTTCATCAGCGACTTTACTGACTTTCAGAACATTGTCCTGCTTGTTCTAAATCTTCTTTCCAGAATGAATAACTCTCCAGGTAAGGGTCTTATAAACAAAAACTTGAAGAAAACTCATATTTTCATTGAATAAAAGAAGATACAATGATTTTATCAGATATAAAGATCGTTATAACACATACTTTAAAGAAAGTCATGATTACCTGTGGGTATCCATTCCATACTTTTTCATCCTTCCAATCACGCACTATCTTTTCTTATGCATCTTTATTGACTCATAAGGCCACCAGGCTACTTCAAGTCCACTTTTCATCTACAAACCGAGACATATTCCTTTGCTGCTGTTGTGTTAGTATTCCTTTTTTAAAAACCTTATATAATGGTCTTTTTTATTTTTATTTTTTTTAATGTTTATATATTTCTGAGAGAGAGAAAGAGCATGAGCAGGGGAGGGGCAGAGAGAGAGGGAGACACAGAATCTGAAGCAGCCTCTAGGCTCTGCACAGAGCCGAACGCAGGGATCTAACTCACAAGCTGTGAGATCATGACCTGAGCCGAAGTCAGACACTTAAGCAACTTAACCACCCAGACGTCCCTGTTTTTTTTTTTTCTCTAAGATTATTTGAAGTTTATTTATTTACTTTTGAGAGAGATGGAGAGACAGAGAGAGACAGATCCAGCACTGTAGAAACTGAATCTTTCCTCTTACGATGTACAAGATGACAAACTGAGTGGAGAGTTGGTAATTATTTCATTTAAAGCTTGAAAGTACCGTACTACAAGATTTTATTATTATAAGATTCAGTTTTACTGAAATTTGGCTTTGGATAGATCAGGCAGTTTTTAATTACTTCCACAAGAAAGACAATGGGAGTTTAAATGTTGAAAACTACTGTTGAAAAATTGGTGACACTTGATAGTATAATTGCGTGGATGTTGTATAACGAGGCATTTACTATCATCTAATCGTCATTCTCATGGAAACCACTCTCAATGTTCCCAATGACATTCAGAATTCAATCACAATATCAAAGGCCTTGGAGTGTTCAAGTAAGCAGAGAATGGGGAAAGCAGATGATTTGAAAAAAAGCATTAGTGAAAAACCAATTCAACAATGAGCATTTTTAATTTATCTTCAGTAGAAATATATGCATACACTTGCAGCAAAGTTTCAAAGTGTCATTTAGCTACTTTTTAGTCTCCAAAAGTGTTTCCCACAAGAACCCTTAGCTAAATTCATTAATATTTTTTAAGTTTATTTATTTATTCATTCTGAGAGAGACAGAGAGTGGTGCACATAGGTGCGCTTGCACATGCACATGAGTCAGGGAGGGGCAGATTCATGTTAATATAATTTAAAATACTTTAAAAATCTTATCAAGTTTCAAGATTCAAGCCTGAGGCCAGCCACCCCTTTTGCTGCCCCGAACGTAACCAGAAGGTTGTTACTCTCTACTCTTCTGCTGCACTGATCGCTACTTCCTCCTTTCTTCGAATGAGGACAACTGTTGGCAGAAGTATGATGTATAAAGAAGTCGGAGGAAATTAGTTTGGGCATCTCTGAAGTTTCAATGCAGGTGGTGACATAGGAGGCTCCTGAACTTACCTCCTTTCATTCATACACCAAATCTACAGCTACATACAGAACAATTCATTCTGAAAGAAATCCTGAATCTAGTGAAATGACTCTTACTCTTTGAAAAAATGAGAGAAAAATCCACAGTGAAGCAAGAAAGAAAGGCTGAGACACTATCTTGCCATGAACCCCAGCCTTGGTGAGGTGACACACAACCGGGAGGGATCTCACAACTCCCAGCTTCTCCTTAAGGAGTGCTGAGTTTGGAATCCCACATCTGACACATCAGCTTCTAAGACTTCCATGTGAGAGAAATGAGTGCCCAGAACATCTAGCTTTGGAAGCCGACAGGGCTTGCATCCACAAGATCCAGAAGCCTATAGCCAACTAGGAGACAGCTTTTAAAGGGCTTGTGCAGACTCGCTGTGGCAAATTCCCAAGGATCCAAAGCTGAGGCAGCAAACTGAAATATACCTAATATTTTCATGAAACAAGCTATTTATTTATTTTAATAGCTATGGACTGAGGAGAAGTCTTCCAATTTAGTACTACAATACTCTCTAGAAAGCGAGGACATAGTAGGTGCAATGTTTGCACTCTCCCTGTCTCACTTCAGGGCGGAGTTATCTCCTGGAAAGGAACTTGTGCACACATATGGTGCCATGTTTTTTTTCAGTTGTCCCCCAGAGAATACCCCTTGATTGTGGGGCTCTGATGTCCCATAGAGCTTAAATTCATGGGTTCCATAGAACTGTAACAAACAAAAGTTGCTACATTAGGATCCAGGTTAAAATCATCTGGCATCTAGACTGAGGTCTGCCTCTTTGGTACACTGACAGGTCTTGGCACACCTTCAACTACTGGGGCCGTTAAAAACAAAGAAACCTGCTTGGACAATCAGAAAGGATTGAAAGACAACAAAGAACAAGGGCAGCATTGAATGATAAGATTTATCTTTGAAAAAGAGGCTACTTTTTCAAAACTGGGAGAGATGGCTATTTTATCTAACCCATAGAAACCAACACAGAGAGGCCAGGAAAATGAAGACACAGAAGAATATGTTCCAAACAAAAGAACAACATAAAAGCTCAGAATGAAACTTTAATAAAATGGAGATAAGTGATTTTCCTGATGCAGAGTTCAGAATAATGGTAATAAAGATGCTCCCTGGTGTCAGGAAAAGAATTCATTAGCAAAGTAAAAATTCCAACAAGGAAATATAAAATATAAGAATGTACCAAACTGACATCACTGACCTGGAAAATATAAAAACAGAGCTGAAAAATTAATAGAGAGGTTCAACTGCAGTCTGGATGAAGTGGAAGACAGGATTAGGAACTTGAGTACAAAGCAGTGGATTTTATCCAATGAGAAGAGCCAAAAGAGAGAAGAATGAAAAATGATGAAGACAGCTTAAAGACACTTATAGCACAATATCAAGTGGACCAATCTTTGTGTTACAAGGTCTGAGAAATAGAAGAGAGAGAGAAAGGGCAGAAAACTTATCTGCATAGCCAAAGCAATCTTGAGAAAGAAGAACAAAAGTGGAGGCCATCTCACTTACAGATTTCAAGATATATTACAAATTTAGCGAAACCAGAAAAGTACAGGTGTAAAAACAGACATATAGATCAATGGAACATAATGGAGAGCCCAGAAATAAACCCACACATATATGATCAGTTAAATTACAACAAAGGAGCCAAGAATATGTGATAAGGAAAGGACATCCTCTTAAATAAATGGCTGAGAGAATTGGACAGCTACCTGCAAAAGAATGAAGTTGGGCAATTATCTTACACCATATGCAAATGAATGAAAGACTTGTAAGTGAGACCTGGAACTATAATCCCTTAGGAGGAAACAGGGAATAAGCTCCTTGGCATTGGTCTCAGTGATGATTTTTTGGATTTGACACCAAAAGCAAAGGAAATAAACAACAAAATACCAGTGGGATTATATCTAATAAAAAGGAAGCAAAGGAAATCATCAAAAAAAAAAAAAAAGGAAAGAGAAAACCTATGAACTGAGAGAAATTATCCATAAATCCTATATCTGATAAGAGATTAATATCCAAAAATATAAACAATCTGATTTTTAAAAATGGGCAGATCTGAATAGACATTTTTCCAAAGAATACAAGCAGATGGCCATCAGGTGCATGAAAATGTGCTCAACATCACTAATAATCAGGGAAATGCACAGATCAGGGAAAACCACAATCCATTATCATTTTATGCCTGTTAGAATGGCTGTTATTAAAAAGACAGAAGTAATAGGGGTTAATAAGAATGTGGAGGGGTGCCTGGGTGGCTCAGTCGGTTAAGAGTCTGACTATGGTTCAAGTCATGATCTCATGGTTCATGGCTTTGAGCCCTGCACTGGGCTCTGTGCTGACAGCTCATCTCAGAGCCTGGTGCCTGCTTCAGATTCTGTCTCTCTCTCTTGGCCCCTCACCTGCTCACACTCTGTCTCTGTCTCTCAAAAATGAAAAACATTAAAATTTTTAATAATATTTTAAAAAGAACATGGAGTAAAGTGAAACTTCATGCACCACGGGTGGGAAAGTAGATTGGTATAGCCACTATGAAAAATAGTATGAAGTTTTCTCAAAAAAGTAAAAATAGAACTGCCAGTAATGATCCAGGAATTCTACTTTTGAGTATTTATCTGAAGGAAATTAGATCACTATCTCAGATAGATATATGCAGTCCCACATTCACTGCAGTATTATGTATAATGACAAAGACATAGAAACAATTTAAGTGTCCAACAATAGATGAATGGGTGAAGAATATGTGATGTATACATACATCATGTGTGTCGATATATATAAAATGGAATATTATCAGCCATAAAAGAATAAAATCCTCTCATTTGCAACAACATGGATGAACCTTGAGGGTACTATGCTAAGTGAAATAATTCAGAGAAAGAAAAATACTATCTCACTTTTACATGGAATTTATAAAAAACCAAATTCATAGATACAGAAAAGAGATTAGAGGTTGCCAGAGACAGGAGAAAGAGGGTGAGTAAACTGGGCAAAGATGATCAAGAATTACAAACGTCCAGATATAAGCAAGTCATGGAAATGAAATATACAGAATGGTGACTGTAGTTAACAATATTGTACATTTGGAAGTAGCTATGGGAGTAGATCCTGAAAGTCCTCATCACAAGAGAAAAAATTGTAACTATATGTGGTGATGGATATTAACTAAACTTATTGTGGTAGTTATGTGTGTATATACATATGTGTATATATATATATATGCACTCATATATATGTGGGGCTGCATATATCTTTTTGAGATAGTGATCTCTCTCTCCCTCTCTCTCTCTCTCTTTTTATATATATATATACATATATATATATAATTATGTTGTACACCCAAAACTAATACAATGTTATATGTCAATTATAGCTCAATTAAAAAAAACTTACTAAATTTCTCATCTGATAATCTATTGCATTAAATTGAAAGTACACAACGGGTGCAATGTAAAGTTAAGAGGTTAACATGTGGAAGGGAATTCATATGTATTAAACACCTACCATGTGCCTGAATTGTGTCAGGTGCTTTTTTTTTTTCACCATCATATATAAATGTCACTACAATACTTTCATAAAAATATTATTGCCAAGGCTGGCGTTGACCACTGACATTCGGTCCTGATGAGACCGTGTTGCCACGGACCTGCTCCTGCTCTCAGCCCCGGGCCCAGAGTAAAACAGTGGAACACACATGAATGTTGGAGTTGCCCACAGTGAGGTGGGTCCAAGTACCTGTATAATAAGCAGCCAGGGCATGTGGCCGACATAAACACTGGGAGCTGGCTGGCTCCATATTGTCTTCCTCAGTATTCTCTTCTTCATTGTTTCTGTTGCCTGCACCTTAACAAATATTATACACACTCTGGGGATGTTTGGGGCTTTTTGGATGCAGTAAAAAGAGTGCCTTTTGAAACTCCTGGCAAAGGTGAAGCAAGGCTCCTAGTTCATTGGGAACAACTGGAATGTGGAGTGCAATTTCCATCTTCACAGAAGTTTTGCACAGTTTTTCCAATAATTCTATATTTCCTGGCATGTCTCTATACAAAGTTTGACCCAACTTACTTCATCCTAACCATAGTTTCTCTCCTGAGTTGTGAATTCCAAGAATGCCAAAGTTACATGGTGTTTGGATCTTCAGAATTAATGAGTATTGAAATGTTTTGAATTGAACAGAATTTCTTGTACCGAGTTTTCTGTAAGGAATGAATGGTTAGTAAATTGCACTGTTTCTGTGATAATGTGAAATGAGAGGTATTTTCATTGTAGGGCCAGTTGTTGTTCCCTCATGTGTTGTTATAAAGTGCAGATTTGTACTAGAAGATGCCTCTGTTGAGTGCAGCTGGAATCCTTCTGAAGAGAAGCTTTATAGACAGGCCGGGCAGGCCCAGCTTATAAATTAAATGCTTATACAGCGAGGGTGTAGTAGATAAATTCAAGGAAATGGATATTTAGAGAAACTAAGACCAGTTTAGTTTATAATGAATGGGATTATATTAGGAGAAGAAAATTTCCAATCACTTACACATGATCAGTTTAAGTAGACTTATACATAAACCAGAATCATCCCTTTACAAGTTTATTATAGATTGATTTTATTACCATACATATAAGAGGAAATATATTCTTTGGTTTTATGCAATCCCTACATTTGTTGGTTTTGTTGGCTCAACATTGTATTGATGGATGAGGTCATTTTTACATTAATAAGTTACTGAGTTCATGAAGATCACCTTATGACTGGTGTTAGCTGACACCAGGCATCTTATGAACAGCCTCCAAATCAGCCTTCTAATTTTGGAATAAAGTGGATTTTGCTGCCTTTCCAGACACAAGGTTGCTAAGCCAGTTATGAAAATAATTTATTTCACTCAGTTAAAGTATATGGTAATTTAGAGACCTCTGCTTATTTGATCAATTGAATTGTTAAAGTCTGACATTTTTTAGAAAAGGAAATAAAATAAACAAGTATGTAGTGGACCTGTGGTCTGGCAGAAAGCACTTCTCCAGAAACAGCACCAAAGTAAATAATGGAGTCTTTTACAGCAGGGCCCCAGTAAAAAAAGTTCCCTCCTGCTCTCAACCCCTGTATTTTGCCCATTAATATTTGCCTTTCCCTACATGGGTCTTGGTGTAGATAAGCCAAACTGGTAACTAGTTCCAAAGCAGCAATCATATTGAATTCTTCACTTAGAAAATTCTTCACTTCTCATATTCACCGGCATTGACTCCAATAAATAACTACATATTATTTTTAGAAGTAAACATGTCATAAAAACAAATTCTGGTTTGAGATGAAACTGGAAAACCTAATAACATTTGGAAACAAAACACTGAAGAGAGTTATAGACCAACTTAAAAATCAGTTTCTTTCACTAAGCTGACTTTTGGAGGTAATGATCATTATTTTGTATTTCAGAAGTATTGAGTTTAGAAATCATTTGTATAATAATGCCTTTGTATGTTTGTCTTTTCCCATGCATTTTTAAATAACCAGAATCTATGCTTTACTAAAATTTTTCTTTGGTGTAAAAAAACTTTAATGCCAACATTTTACCAATAAAGAAACAGAAGTTTTATAAGTTTATTTAATTCACTAGCTGGTAAATGAGACAGTAGATTTGCATTTTGGCATATTATTTTAAAGCCTGTGCTCTTTCTCCTTAACACATCATCCTCCTTTATACTGAAACTTATGCTCTAGATAAGTCTGAAATCTAGCATCAGTCCTTTGCTTTTTTGTTGGGTGTGTTGACTGACTCAAACATTAATCAAATCTGAAGATTTCAAAGGAGCCCAATCTTCTCACTAGTTTAAATAGAAAGAAAAGAAAAGCACTATCCTTGGGTCTTGAGACTTTATAGAAAGATTATATAGGTTTATAA